GAATTGGAGTCAAATAAACCCTTAAATTTGTCGCCATTTTGTTTTTGTGGTTTGAGTAGGGCCTAGGTACTAGTCTCTAGTCTACACTTTTTTCTGAGGAAAACTGGGTGCCATAGCTTCTTTATTTGGGCGCCATTTTTCGAACGATCGTTTTGTTGTTGCTGGATTTGGTATCTTTTCATCGTTTTTAGCCACTTTCAAAACGTTTTCGTTCCTTTTTTTATGATGCCTTCACGGTATAACAGTGTCAGAAGTATTTTTGAGGAAGCTCAGCGTGGAATTCAGCACCACAAAAAGCTACTGACCGAACTGAAAAAGCTTCATGACAGCTCCTCACAAGATGAGTTCCAGGAAAGTTTTCTCTGGCATTTGAAACATGCCATGGTAGTGTTCAACAGAGAACCTGCTGTTGAAAGAGTCATTGATTTTGCGGCCAAGTATGCTACATTGAAGGATCACCGAACTTCTGAGACTCAGAAGGTAAAAGATATATAGTATAGAATGTTCAGTATTTAAACGATTTGATTTGTAGAACTTCTTTCAGAGTGCTCAATATTAAAACTCGAGCGTGATTATAACAGGACGGGTAAATCAACTTTAGACGTGACTTGGCGTTTTATTACTATTTAATTTCGTACTACGCAACTAGAGTAGCACTCTGCAAAATTACGGGACGGTGTGTCATGGGAAAAAAATTTGCTGGGCATTTGCTGGGCTGCAAGGCATTCAGCCCCATGACTTTTTTCCGTTGCTACAAATAGTGTTTTCTGCATAATTCAATAAGCCACCATAGAGTCAAACTGTTATGCACCTAAAACTCAAAATTGTTGGACCGAGTACTACCGTAAACTTTTGATTATTCTAATAAGCCCCCCTACCCCCACCATAGACCTCTTTCATAATGGTGGCCTGTTAATATATTCTTTTATTAGTGTGATAATGAGCCTTTCTGACCTCGTTAGCATGTAAAATACAAAAGAATTCTTACTTTCAAATGAGGTCAGAAAGGCTGATTATCATACATATAAAAGAATATATTAATAAGCCGCCATTATGAAAGAAGTTTATTAAAGCCCAGCTACACAGTACACCTAATTGCAATAACATTGTGTTAGACAAATGAAAAAAAGAAAAAGCCAAATAGGAATTAATTAGGCTAATAAAGGGTAGTGAATTCATTTACAGCATCCTCACATGGACGTCACATGGCACGTTAGAATTTGCTATTGTTTTAAAGCTGAAAGACAATAAAAAAAATTCCAGCGGGGAAATGCAGCAGCTGCAAATGAATCCACCCTGAGAATGTGGCTTTATTAGCCTGATTAATTCCTATTTGGCTTTTTCCTTTTTTCCTTTTTTTACGACAACGTTATTGCAATTAGGTGTACCTGTAAACAAAAGTTATAAGCCCCCAAAACCAACATAAGCCCCTGTCTATCTTGTATGGCAATGAAATCAACTTTTTACGAAGTTTTGAAGCCTAAAAAAGTGATCAAATTCAAAAAGTATGTTGATCAATACTGCAATGTAGCATGTTTTGAAACACTTTTATAATTTGGTTATAACCCCCACCCCTCCCCCGAATATAAAACCTCCTCTCCCTTCCCCTCTGTTTATAAACCCTCCTAAAACCCCTTACGAAGTTGTATAAGACCAGCACTTATATATAATCGGAAGTTTATGGCATTTGTTTCATGCTCTCTCAATCTCAGGTATTTTTAGACTCAGGAGCCTGTAGAGGTACAGGCCATAATTTTGGTTTTTATCACTTTCCTTTTACTCCAAAGATGCGTGTTAAGACAGATGTACAAACATGTGCCTCAATATGCAATTGACTGCAGAAGTCAGAGTTACATGTACTGATATAAACCACTCCTTTTTTACAACCCTTTAGAATCGCCAAGGAAGTGATGATGAAGAAGACAATGCCAGCAATGCCTTCCTTGATTTCCTCTTCACATTCCTACTAGACTCACATGAAGCTAAAGACAAAGCAGTGCGGTTCCGTGTTTGTCAACTTATCAACAAACTTTTGAACAACATGGATGATGATGCAGTCATTGATGATGATCTTGCTGATAGGATCTTTGAGAGTATGTTGACACGTCTCCATGACAAGTTTCCTGCAGTGAGGGTTCAAGCTGTTGCTGCAATCTCGCGACTCCAGGATCCAACAGATGCTGAATGTGCTGTGATTTCTTCTTATTTAAAGCTCATGTCAAGTGATTCTAGCGCTGAGGTTCGCAGAGCCGTGCTTCTGAACATTGCTCTCTCCACTCAAACACTAGAGGGGGTTATAGGTACTGCACAACAAAACTGTTTATAGTTAAGTATTTAAACAAAGGGAGGAAGAGGAAAATGAATAAATGATTAAACATATGAATAAATAAATAATTAAAGCAAATGTTGAGGGGTAGCATGTCCACATAGTGGTTCTTCATCTACCTGATTCCTGGTCAAATTTAATATTATTGGAATTTGGATAGGGAAGTGATTTTTGTCTGTTGTTACCAGTCTCTTATGGCTGGAGACAATAGAAGTGAAGGTCTTAAAGAAAACCTCACTTTGCAAGCTTGTTTTACAGTTTTCATGTTGTTTATGGGTAGTGTTTTTTGGTTTTGTTATTCAGGAAGGACTCAAGATGTTACAGAATCAGTGCGCAAGTTGGCTTATCGCATTCTAGCAGAAAAAGTGAACATCAGATCGATGTCGATTGCTCAGAGAATGCAGCTCCTGTCAAATGGATTAAATGACAGATCAGATTCTATTAAAGAGCTGTGTACTCAGGAACTTCTTGGTGGTTGGCTGAAAAGTTTTGACCGGGATGTCATCCAGCTGCTCATGTGTTTAGATGTGGAGGGCTGCACTGAAGTAGCTGATCTAGCTGTAAAAGCAGTACTCAAAGGTACTGATCAATGTGTACATATTCAGTGCACATGGGCCAGTAGTAGTAGTCAATTGATTAACGTTAGGTTAAGTTGTATTTGTCATATCAGGTCTTTTTAGGCATAACAGGTTGCATGCATTTTCAAGCTAGATTTAAAAAGCCTCTACCAGCCCAGAAATAACTTTTTAATTGACCAGCTTGGCTTTGTGGGCATAGTAAATCATAGCAATAGCTTAGATCTTTGAAGCCTGATTAGTACTAAAGCAGGTTTAATTGAGTTAGCATGCGGTAAACCCAGGATTAGGGCAAATCAAGAACGAACATTAGGTAGCCATGGCTATTTGTACAACACAGTCTGTAGACACTGGTGAAACCTTTCTTGGTATCATGTACAACTCTATCAACCTTCACGAACACATTCAATCTGTATTATATCATTCAATGGAGTAGAAAAGTGTGTGTGGATATTTTTCGCTTGAACACCAACAGTCGTTTTTGCATCCTGTGATTATCATTGTAGGATTGCCAAAAGAAGATCTTCAAATGTACATCAACTTGTTAAAGAAGGGCCAGGAAGAGGAAGGTCCAGTAAGGATCAAATATGAAACTCTTGATGCTGAGACAGCTTTTTACTGGAGGTGCCTTGGAGAACATGTAAAGACTATGGGAGTTGATGGTGAAGAGCTCTTGGATGAACTTCTTCCAGAAGTGTCTGGGTTTTGCAAGTACATTCAGGGGTATGTTTTTTGTATGACTGTAAAAGCTGTGAACTACATGTACTTGTAAGTAAATTCTCTCTAAACACTCAGACACCTCCCTAGCACACGACACATAACATGGACACTCAATCTCTACAGAAGACTCCTCTTAAAGACATGGTTTCCATTTACACAACAAGGGAAACTTTTGTAAATGTGGCACCATTGCTTTTGTGATATGGAAATGCTTATTAATTTCAGGTATGTGGAAAGCTGTTTATGCAGTCACTCTTCAGAGGAGAATTCAGAAATTCAACACGTATTTGTAATCCAGCAACTTCTGACTTTGCTCGGTGTGGTTGACCTATCTGATGAAGTTGGAAGGTATTTACAGTGTAGCATTTTATGAATGGAAATACTACAGCCACTCTTTTCCTCAAGTGTCAGCAAATTGTACAGCAACATGGAGACATAACTGAAACTGAAATTTGTATGGGTAGCTGCACATTATTAAGCAGACATGAGTTTTATTTGTTGTATATTAAAAAAAATAGCCAATTATTTTAAAGGAAACAGAAAATTAATTCAAACCAAAGGTGTTTGAAGTAAACAGGCTCTAAAAAAGCAGTGAAGCAGATGAATCATATAAATGTATTCATACTGTACACAAGGCTCCACAGGTTTAAAATAATAGGCAATTAGAGTAAGAAGAAGCAAATCTTTGTCATTTTTCAACAAAAATAATAATACTTCCTGTGATTAAGTATTGTAACAGTTAGAAGAATGAAAGGGTTGCAAGATCAAATTAGAGGCTGCAGTGCAATTAACCAGGCTAAGGGTTCATTTCTTTTTTCCAGGAAAAACCTCTGTCAAATGCTGCACGACTTACTGGTATTGCCAGAGGTTCCAGAGTCGTTAATAGGAGTTCTTCATGCCAGGTACATGGATATTCAACCAGAAGAAAACAACAGAATTCAGGAGCTGGTGGAGATTATTGCTGATGTTAGACAACCCATGGTCATGATAGAGACTGCTCAAAACAAGGAGGAAAAACGACAATGGGAACTTAAGGTTGTCCCTTGATCATGCACCTAGAGTCTCTGATATAAATTCATTTAACTGGCAGAACTAGTGCATGTACCATGATTTACTGATTTAGACAGTTATCCTGGTTTTTGTGTTTTCTGTAACATACATGTATGTCACCAACATTCAAAGCTGAAATCACATGGACAACACTATACACTTAATATCTGATCCCGAGGGGAAAGAGGTAGTTTTGTTTTCCCGAGAGTCTTGATGTTTATTGAGACGAAGTAGGGGGAAACATCAGGATTCGAGGTTGGTCATCAGGCTTGCCTTTTATCAGATGCCTCATAAAACTCAGCTCAGTGACGACACAAAATATTCGTTGACTCCATATTACGTGTATTTCAGGTTGCTGGAATTCGTGTCAAGCTGAACCAGTTCCGTGATGAAATGGAGCAATGTGTGTTAAACCAGGAATTTTCAAAAGCAGCAGAGCTAAAGCAGCAGATCATAGAACTAGAAGAGCAGAAAGAGTTACTTGATTCACAGGAGAATTCTTTCTCTCAGACAGTCAGGTCTGAAGAGAAGGTAACATATACTATTAATTTTTCTCTGTGTGCCATTCCCAAAGCAAGAAAAAAATTGAAAATGAAGAGAAGAAAAATTTAATTTGAATTTTCGGCACATGCATTAGCCTGCATGGGAGGCACTGGAAAATATTTAATAATAATGAGCACAAGAGAGAATGGTGTGTGCAAGGGAGACGCGTATCCCCCTCTTGTTCATATTACTTTCAAGCACCTGCTGTGCATCTACACATGCATGAAACTGAACACCTCTAGACTGACAACAGAAATGGAGCAAGCATTTGCAGATGGCATTGTTTGATAGTTGTTCCTCAGTTTGTTTAGGTGGTGGTGAGAAAAAGGCTACATGTAACTTTTCAGCTGTAAGGGTTTTGTGTGCAAAGAATTCATGATTCAATAATTGGTTACTGAATACATTTTCAGTAGTTTTATTTTTCTTTGTCTCAGGATGATCCAGACACACTATTGAAGTGTCTAACTGTTGCCTCCGAGATGCTGCAGGGCGTGACCACAAGTGGTCTCAACCCTACTCTCATGACACTGGTTCAAACTTTGGTGAGCATTTCTGAGTTACAGGAAACTCTTTGTGATTCTCCATTTGAACAAACGTCTACCTAACAGGGCCGTATATCTTTCATTTCATTTGTAGAACACTTTAAAACGCTATGGATGTAACTAGCCTCTTTTGCAGGTGCCGATTAGTTTTTTTGGATAGTTTTTATAGAGTGTGTGTGTCCTCAAAATTTTTTCCTTTACCCTAACAAAACGCAGGCTAGGATGTAACTGTCTGTAACTCTACATTTACAGCAAGAGCTTCTTAACAGGAGCTTGCTAGCCTGTGGTTGCCTAGAAGTTGTTTGTCGTTTCTAAAGTTTTGTTGAAACATATACAAGTTGAAAAGTTTGCCCGCTAATTTTCAGAAGGGGAGAGGGCGGCTGTACACAGGCTAAGCCTCTAACAAAATAATTCTTTGTACTTGCAGCTAGAGAGAGATGGTACAACAGCTTAAATAATCTTAAATCTCTATCTTTTTAATATTTGAGGCTTTTGTAATACATTTAGCTTTGTTCAGGTCTGTAAACAGAGTTGATTCCCCCAATCCCCAACCAATTTTATTCAAAAGGATATTGTAAAAGTATTTTCTTGAAGAGGTCGACATATGTCAACGGAAGGTTTTTGTACCAACTGACTCAAAAGCTACAACAAGTGGTAATAAAGTTTAGTTGTGTTGATTTCTGAACACAATCGAACTTTTTCGCAGAACATGTATTAACGTGAAGTTTGTAAATGACTTTTAACTCCAGATCCTGCCTGGTGTACAGAATGAGGATCCTTTAGTGCGGAACATGGCTGTCAAGTGTTTGGGCCTGTCTGCATTACTTTCCTGTGAATTTGCTCGTACCCATCTTGTTCTATTTCTTCAGGTAATATGGCAGTGGTAATGCTTATTAAAAAGGGCTAGATTTTACTAGAAAGAGAGTGGAGTCAGTCATATTTAATAGTCGTGAAAGCGCTTGTGACCGTGTAAAACTTAACAGTAGGTGACATATGAAACAGAGTCGCAAAATTCAAAACGTTGCCATTTCCTTCCATCTCCGTTTTCTATCTAGTGCGAACCAGATTGTCTGAGTCAGAAGTAGAAGCCGAAGAATAAACCAATCACAATGCTTGTTGGATGCTCCGTTGGTTTGATTTTCCTTCCGTATCATCTACTCAGCGCTTCTGATTACAATTTTGACTCCGTGTGTAATGAAAGCCGGCTTCAGTAAACTGATTCTCATGCACTAAACGTGGCGTCCACAGAATCTGCAAGAAGTATTAAACTTTTTTAATTCGGTCGTTATACCTGAATCTGTGAATTTAACACAAAGATCACCAAGCCTATTTTTCATTTGCCTCATTGTTGAAGACTCCCTCCTCTTGGTGCATTCACAAAAGTACGTGGGCATTAATTACTTAATTCCTATCCTCATTTCATCTATGTTTTTGCACATGTTGCAGTTTACATTCGCATGTTTCACGGGGCCTGTTCACAGTATTAGTGGCGTCATTGCTCAGTTGATTAGAGCATCGCAGTGGTGGCGCAAATTAATGGGTTTAAACTCTGGCTTCTTTCCGCAGTTGCTGATGCGTTCGTACCCGCGGCGTTCACCTTTTCATTAAAAAAAATGAGACACTCACAGTAAATAAAGAAAAGCCAGCTGATCTGGTGATAAATTTGTCTACTGGCTTTTTAGTTCAACTGTTTACTTGGGAAATAGAATCAAGCAAATTGTGGCATTTGTTTTTTACACTCGCAGGTTGCCCAACTTGACCAGGAACTTGTCCGAGTAACAGCTCTCCAAGTTGTCTTTGATCTTCTTCTCAAGTTTGGACTCGAGGCATTTAAAGTCAATGCTGCTGTCCCTGACCTGGACAACAGTGAACCAAGCACAGTTTCAGAACAGGACAAATCCGGGACAGAGGACGATGAGGAAGAAGCAGAAACTGAAGAAGGAGAAGCTGATAATGAAAAGGATGATGAACACGATGAGATCCCAGCTCCTGACACAGATACAGCAGCTAGTGTGTTGACCATACTTACAGGAATTCTAGAGACTGAGGTACTGTTGACCAGGTTAGCGGTACATCAGTGCCGGTAGATACGTACAGCACAAGTCAGAACAGCTTGCATTTTAGAACATTGTTTTCAGCCTCCTTCCCAGTCGTCCTCGGTGATTTCGAATGTGACGTCACCTGTCAATATGGCACTCGGTTCCAACCCCCCTTCCGCCCACTCGAATAGTGCGAACAGGCCTGTGGACTTGCCTGTGGAGGTTGCGTACGTTTTATTTTGAGTTTGCAAGTCTAGCTACAAACGCAACTCTCCCATATTTTTTCTATTTAGCATCTTCAAGTGAATTTCCTCTATCATGTATGTGTAAGTCTGTTAAAGTTGAGCAGGGTTCAACTTTTATACGCGCGACCTTTCATACACCTCAGAAAGTGGAATTCCACCCTTATAGCATTAATTTCTTGGATTTTATTCGTATCCTCTACAGAGTAATGATCTACGCAATGTTGCTGCCGAGGGTCTGGCCAAGCTGCTGTTATCAGGCCGTGTTCTGAGTGCCAAACTGTTCTTACGTCTGTTGCTGTTGTGGTATAATCCCACCACTGAAGATGATGTCAACTTGAGGCATTGTCTGGGTGTGTTCTTCCCTGTATTCGCCTTTGCCTCACGGTATGTACATGTATTTGAACAAAGCTGTCCTCAAGTGCAGCAAGGCAATCATTGCAGAGGGTCTACAGGGAAAGGCACTAACGAACGTCGAGGGTGTCCTGTAGTGTGGAGGGTGTCAAAGTTACTGCTAAACACAGATGCCCAACAATGCAATTTTAATAAACTGAAGGAGTCATTTTTTGTAGTTTTGTAGTTTATTGCTTCTGCTTGAAACTAAAGAGTGCAAATAACGTTTTTGTTTATGGGAATATCGAAGGAGACTCTCAGCAAAAAAAGGCGACTAAAGAGTATGAGCTAGCGACCAAAATTTTTGGATTAATCGCTCGCATTACCAAGGCTACTTAATAAAAAATTTAATTTGAGCCCTGCTGATGTAAGTGAAAAGCTACCAAAAAGCTGAAGTAGAAGGTTACGAAAGGTTCGCTTTCTGATTGTGTTCGTGAAGTTAGCGCTTTAAAACTGAAGGAGGAAAAATTTTGCTCGACTACTCACCCTGGCAGATATTGAGAGTCAATAAGTACAAGAGGTTTCACTCTGTCTGAACTACTCTAATTTGGAAAACCGTACTAGACAGAATACTACCACTGCAATACATACCTACTCCATTGACTATTTGACCAACTGGCATCTGTCCACTGTATTTTTTAGCACGAACCAAGAGCTTGTGGAGGAAGCCTTCCTTCCAACTCTGCAGACATTGTTTAGTGCTCCTGTGTCATCTCCACTAGCGTCAGTAAACGTAAATAACGTGGCTGAGCTGTTGGTGCAACTGACAAACTCTAAATATTTGGCAAAGCAAGGAAACTCCATTGACAACACTGAGGTACATATGCGATTAGTAGAACACAGTTGAATCAGTATTTGACGATAGACAGGTGTTGGACAGTCTTTATTAATGGTTCAATTTTATCCTTGTATAAAGTGTTATCTTCCTCTGTGTATAATGTGTGATAAAGAGTTTGAAACAAAGGGAAATAAATTTTAAATCAAGGATTAAATTAAACCACCAAATGTATACACCATCACAGCTTTCTTCATCTAGCCGATTCGAATCCTCTTCCGTTCAGCAGGTTTTAGCAATAGTCGTTCCGGCGGAAAAGTTCTTTATGCGTTTCCTATAAAATAATATGATTTACAAGTATGGACTATGAAGTAGAAGGGATCCCGAGCCCTACCTTTGGACACGACCCAGTGGCGCACCTTCTGAACAGAGAAAAGCTCCTAGTACTATATACAGATCCTTTTTGTGCCCCTGTGACTTTACACTCTGTAGTCTAGCACCTTACTAATTGACCTATTAAACAATATTACTGAATAAGGCGCCATTTTGTCATCTTACACTAATTGAGAATGTCTTCTTACAGGTGTCTAGCATTCATGTATCGCTGAGTCTAGCAGTGGCCAATGAGATCTTATCTGCTCCCGATGCACCTGGTGTACGGGTGCTCTGCAAGATCCTCACGATGATGGCCCTTACTGGCTGCGCACAGTCAACCATCAAGGAAATGAAAATTCTAACTGCAAGAATGATTGAGGTACCTGTGATGCTATGCATACGTTTTCTTTTTGAATCATCACCAGCGTCATTGCACAGGCCCATACCCTACGCAAAATGTACAGGGTTCGCCAGATTTACCGTAACCTTTTTTTTGTTTTGGTCCATTTAAAAATGCTGTTTCTGGGAGTTTCGTCACACCTCCGAGCACAACGCAAAAAAAGACAATGCCTTTGCATTTTGTACATAAAATCACAATTTTCAGAAGAAGTTTTAAACTAGCTATTACTTGTAAAATACTTCTTTTAATTTGTTGAAAATCAGATGATCTCCCAGAATCTGAATGGCTATTTTTCAATGTCTCTGACAAGTACAATAACCTAATCCATTTTCTCATGATGATATTTATCATATCAAATACGTGTTTCTAGGCTATTGAGGATAATGTGTCTTTGAAAGCACTAAATAAATTTCAGAAGTTGCTGCTGGTTCTGACAGATTCCGAAAACGGTAAGATAAGAAGTGACATTTATACTTGTCTCAGCTACGGGGAGGTAAAAATTAGTTCATGTTGACACTTATCTTTGTACCAGTGAGATAACAATACATATTTATACTGTTTCTTCGCCCGTTTCTGTAATGCCAGAACCTCCAATCTTTTGTTTTTTTTTTTCTGAAATATAATTGATATTCCTTTCTAGTCGTCAATCGGTCCTCAGTGTCAATTGGTGTTAATCGCAAGCCGGTTTAGATAGCCTGTCTTTTGAAGATTCATCATGCGTCTGGGTTACTTCAGCAATTTGACCATCGAGTGTAGTTGCTTTGCCGGATATGTTAATCATAAACAATGTATTTGATTTAAACCGTTTGATACTCTTACAGAAGGCGGAGATGCCTCGCAGACAGAACCTGAGGAGAATACCCAAGGACATGCCCAGGAAACAGAAGGTTCCTATGAGACTAATGGAGGTGAAACAGTCGTACCTAATACGGAATCCTCAGAGATATTCCAAGGGACTGATTGTCCTTCTGAAGATGGGGCGCCCACAGAAAGGCTGCAATGTCACACAGAAGAGACAGGTACACCACTTAGTGGTGAGTAAGCTTGTAGTGATTTGAAGTATTAAAGTAGTGTAGAGTGCCTCCATTTGACCCCATTTGAAGAGACGCCAATTTAGTCTTGTGTTCAGGGGCCTGTTTCTCGAAAGTTCCGGTAACTTTTCGGGCCTGGAAAGCTGTTTTGTGTTTGTTGTGTTTGCATTCAAGAGCAAAGTTTCAATAATTTACAAAATAATACAATGAAACTATCAGTTGACGAAGCAAAATTGACTGGTTTGTGGGCCAGGAACTGTGCTACTATTGAAGTGGTAGGGATTTTAAAATTTGCCTTCGGGCCCGAAAAGTTAACGGGCCTTTCGAGAAACGGGCCCCAGGTCCTGTGAGAATAGCCTTCCGTTGTGTTAAAGTATGATTCTAATGGAGGATTTTTTAGTTGAACAGCGATGCTTAGGTATTGTATTTATACGCCATTTGTGTGAGTAGGTATTAGGCTTTTGTACATTATGCTAGCATTTTTTCGAGCATTTTAGTGAGGCAAAAGCATTGAGCATTCGAGCATTTTAGTGGCATTTTTCCCGGAAAATTAATTTTTCCGAGAAAATAAAATAGAAATTAACTTTTTTCAGGAGCCCATGCCCCACGAGCTCCTGCGTTTTTAAAGAAAATGAAGACTAAAACTCAAAATTCACAAAAAACCTAATACAGCTGGGTTTTTTGGCTGTATTTATGAACTTGTACACGTTGTCGTTGTTACTTGCAACACTTGCACGTTTTTGTGAGTGTNGGAAAATTAATTTTTCCGAGAAAATAAAATAGAAATTAACTTTTTTCAGGAGCCCATGCCCCACGAGCTCCTGCGTTTTTAAAGAAAATGAAGACTAAAACTCAAAATTCACAAAAAACCTAATACAGCTGGGTTTTTTGGCTGTATTTATGAACTTGTACACGTTGTCGTTGTTACTTGCAACACTTGCACGTTTTTGTGAGTGTAAACTTTGAAAGTAATTTTAAAGACCGTTTGTATAATGAGCATTATCCGAGCATTTTATTGACTTTTTTGGGGAGACCGAGCATTTTAGTGGGAAAAATGGAGCATTAAAGTGGAGAATTTTAGTGGGGAAGCAAAAGCATAATGTACAAAAGCCTAGTAGGTATGCTCACGCTTCGTGTCAACCACACAACAGTTAAGGCAAGTGTCTTTCGTTTTTCCTTACTGATTGCCGCCTTGATAACTTACATTGAGTTCTGGATTGTGTACAGCTCATGTCCTGTGCTTCTGTCCGGCCGTAATTTGTGTCATGCGCGATCCTTCTTTCTGATTTTAGGATTAAAATAATTTCATTTTCTTAATGCATCAGTACATGTACTTAAAAAGTTTTTTTTTCTGTTTTTTATAGTTTCAGAGAATACATGTGAGGTCCCACACAATGACAAAAGTCAAACTGAAAATAGACCACCAAAATCTAAAACTAGAACAAAGAGCAAGAAAAAAACAACAAAATCAACCGCTGAGGTGAACCAACTAAGGTAAGATGGGTTGGATGGGTATAAATATTGCTGCATCTCAATTGCAACATGCTATTTTCTTTATTAGAGGTTAAAAATGTTATTCCTGGTAAAGTTATAGCAAGCCCCGGCGCTTCTTTTTCTCGTGCCTCACACCTGGTTTTTGCGCCACCACACATTTTAAGTTACGGGGACAAGCCTAATCTGAAGTTACCTGGGAGCTATTTCTGCCTTTTTTCGTTGCGTTTCTATTTTTGTTTTCCAGTCCCTCCCGTGTGATGAGCGAAGACACGCCAGCAAGAAGAACAAGATCTACCAGGTACATTAAAAGAGTGCTTCAGATGATCAGTTTCAGGCCTGGCAATAATTTTTCTTATTAGGAAGGACCTATTGCTGATCATGTCACCGTTTTAGCTGTACAAACCACAAGAGCTGTTGAAAATACAGTCGACTCTCTCTTAGCGAACACTTTTATAAAGACGGCCACCTAGAATCGGTCCCTGGTTTTCTTTATTCCCTTTATTTGACTTCACTGTGAGACGGAAGTCACTCTTCGACAGCGGTTCCAAAGGTGTTCGTCTTAAAGTTAACTTTTCACTAGATTGACTTTTAAAGTTTCTTTGTTTACTATGCGAATCTTCAGCTACAAAATGCTGGCATGTCCGGTTTCATGTGGTATTTTGTCGGACATGAGCAGATTCGATTCCGATGACCGACTGTTATTTGCAGCTCGACATTTATTTACTATTTAAGATATATTTATTTGTACTTAAGCTATCGGTTCACACGCGTGTCCTTTTTGAATTTTTTGACTCATACAAACTCAAGCGTTCACAGCTTCTGCCGTGAAATTAAATTTTTATGGTCACACCATGAGAGGCATGCACGGAGGCGCAAAGGTATATCCCGTAAAACGTGATGAGAGTGACGCACTCGAGTACACACGCACATGCCCTCTTTCTTCGGGCTTATCGCTCTGCTTTCCCGCGCCCAACATTTCTCTTTTGTGAACTTTTCCCATGCGCTCGCTCGCTAAACGTTAGAGCCCATGGGCGCTTTCCATTCAACCCAGCATTCCGGAAATTTCGGTTGGTACATCAAATGGAACGGACCATTTCGGTTTGGTCCGACCGGAATATTCGGGACCAGCTTTGAAGGTGGTCCACTTTGACCGGACTGGTTATCTCGGTCGGTCGGACCCAAATGCCCCTTTCTGTTTGACAAAATTGTTCTCCCCAGTACCGCTCTTTTGTATCCTGCTAACAAGAACAATAACCAAACGCGCGGTACCCTGCGAACAGCAGACGTACTTCCGGTCGTCGCTTCTCTCCCTCCGGAATGTACCGTTCCATTAGGCACGTGGAATTTCCGAAATTGTGTTTAATGGAAAGCGCCCCATGTCTTTGGAAGTGAAATTCGCGAGGAAGGTTTTTTTTCGCTCAAAACTGTTGCAATTTTAAGGATATGTTACACGGGACGATTCACTACGAAATGTTGTAGCGCAACACAATTGTGCACGCGTGATCCGTTGGAAACGGACGTGTTACACGGGACGTTTTTTGGCGCAACAAAGGAAGCGAAAAGGGTACGCAAAAGGCGTCGCGCAAAGAATTGACAACACGTTTGTTGCACGAAACACGGAATTCGTGACTTGTTGTCCAACTTTTAGAGCCTCTTCAACTATTTGCAACGCGAAAATTGTGCACAAAATTGTAAGCGCGTTCGGCATCAACTTATGACGCAACATCGTTCCGCTAATAATCATCGTTGCCGATCGTCTTGTGTAACATCACTTAAGACAGAACAAATCACTGACTGAACTTTTTATTCACAGGATAAGCAAGAAGAATGCTGGCAAAAAGTTAGCTACCTCCGCGATAAATTCAGATGAGGACAACAGTGAAAAAGAAAATGTTTGCAACGATTCCGATGATGTTTTTGCCTGAATCAATTTGTTTTCAATTTGAAAACTTTAACTCATGTAGATTGATCGTTTGATTCAACTGACAGTTGTACGGTTAACATGTGTTCACTAACTTACACACAAATTCTTCTTTTACATACTCGATTTTCTTCCGAGATTTCGGTTTGTGGAATATTTCGCCACACCGAAGTCCTCCGCTAAAGGATGTAAATAAACAGTGAAATACGAAAGTCCTGCTCAGATTCTTGTCTTAATCCGAAAGTGAAGGTTGGTCAACCGAAAAACAGCCGGCCCCACCCATGTTTTAATGCAACACTGTTATAACAAAAACCTTTCGGAATCAATTTAGGTTTCTGGGAAACTGCCCACCTACCCCTCCCCTAACTCAACGTTAACATTTGTGTCTCAGTTGGGGCAAAATGTTGGGTTAGGGGAGGGGTAGGTGGGCAGTTTCCCTGAAACCTAAATTGACTCCTTTCGGAATGTAAATCTTCCTGTGCACTCGATATGAGAGGACAACTCTGCTGTGTAGTGTCGTCCGTTTCCCTTAAAGTAGTTTTTATTCAAATCCGCCAGATTTCTTCATTTTTGTTTATTTGAATTGCCATTAATGAACCCAGATTTCAAAAACGTTTATTGATGAGCTGGTAATAATGTAAGAGAGTATCTTACGTCTTGATAGTTGTCAAGGATAATTACTTTACAGACAAGTTCGTCTGTTCAGAGACCTTCCATTTTTTCTTCATNGTAAGAGAGTATCTTACGTCTTGATAGTTGTCAAGGATAATTACTTTACAGACAAGTTCGTCTGTTCAGAGACCTTCCATTTTTTCTTCATCGTCGAGCGCGAATGCGCCAGCTTAAGGGCTTAAGGGTAGGTCCTCCAAAGAGTCTAGAGGACTGACTATAGGCAAGTACTCTTGGCTGGATCAAGTGATGCATGATGTGTTCGTTTTTGCCAATGGTGTTCAGCTTCATTGAACCCAGGAATGTATAACTTTTTTCTGCTTTCTGTTTTCTTTTAATTTCGACGAGTTAAAAACAGACGCAAAAGAGCGATTTTCGAATGACCTTGAAAAATGGGTTCGGCAAGTGTTCGTTATTTGTTTTATCAGCCAGTGGATGAAAAGATCGAAACATGAACTCTTCGTTTTCCTGCCAAAGAAAACCCTAATAGACAGAAGGAATTGTTCGATTGGCCAATCGTGTTGCAGTATGTCGTCAAAGCGAAGTATCGTTTGATTTCTAGAAAGTTCTCGGGCATGAAGTTTTTTCACCCGAGCGTTCGCTTAACTAACCTGAGATCAGGCTCTATTTTCGTTCCGCTTTGTAAATAACATTCCGAAGGGCATGGCGAAACGAAAAGATTTTAGCGCTAGCTGTTAGAGAGAATGTATGAGAACCGCTCAAATTGGGCCTGATCTCAGGTTATCGCTTAACCAACCAAAAGCCACGCGGAGTTTGTGTCCGTTCGATAAACCAATCAAATCGCTCTATTTCCGTTCATTTGTTGTTTCTGTTTTGTTCGCGCGTTTTCATTTCAAGGTCATGCAAAAATCGCTCTATAGAGCTTTTTCATTCACATGGCCAGCAGCTAATACTATGCTAATTTATGGAGCAAACAAAAAAGAGATGAAGGCGCACAGGAATGGTTCGGGACACCAAACACTTAAGGAGCGGATCCAAGATTTGATTGGAGCCCTGGGGAGGGGCTCACTTCAGAAGTAAAGCTTGTATCCTGAGTTGAATAGGAGTTACTTAGATCAAGAAGGGAGATGCGTGGGAACCCCAAGGAAACTCCCCTGGATCCACCCCTCTAAGATTCGACTCAATGCTTGAAGGAACAATAATCCACAACGTTTTTACAGTCCAAGTTTATTTACACTGGTTGTGCATAATGTACAGTTCGGCAAAATATAAACTGATCAAAAAAAGATAATAAAATACACCTTTTAATACTACAGTAGAGTTTGGCACAAATGTTGCCGCTATTAATTTTGTAAATGGATATTTTACATTCCCGGGTAAAAATTCAAAACTTTACCATCTACTAAGTTTGGCGTACATGTAGCTGATACAGTAAATGTAACTGCTTCTTGAAGAAAATCTACAGCAATTTTATCGATTTTATTCTTCCTACACAGTTTTATACTATTAAAAGCCATAACGTTCTTTGTGCTAACAGCCGCTTGCCATTGGGCAAATTCTGTTACACAAATGGAGACAACCTAAACAGGGATGTCACTAAGATTTCAAGTTTCTGGGTATAATTATGCAATAACAAGACGGCAAAATAATTTATTGAAAAGCTACCTGTAGGAAGTTCTTTATGTTCTATTTAATTTTCCTTTTGTTTCCTCTCAAAGTAGCTGGGGATCGTGCTCATAATAACCAGGGGAAATCCTAGTGGCAGCCCCGCCTTAAGGTACATTGTATTAAATCCATCCCCATCCAATTCACCTAAACCACTAGAAATCCCATTGACCCCAGGGGACACATCCTCTATACAAACAGAGGGGTTTCTTGTTAGAAGATTCTGTAAAACCCTCCAAAAAGTGCCAGAATCTCATTGTCCAGGTGAAACTCAAATTTATTTTTGCGTCCAAGAGATTCTTGAATGACTATTAAATTTCACATATATTTACCAGGTAGGAGAAAAAGGCAGTTGAATAGCAAATGAGGCCATGGTATAGGGTAAAATTCTGACAAGCAACATGACCTTGAAAGAGCAACACACCGATAAGTCAGATTAGATGGTAACAAATGAGATCAAGATGGGTTGAAATTGTGTCGGCAACAAAGGCAAGTACAAATACAACAGTAAAATGCTGAAAAGGACATGGCTTCCTCTTCAACGTGCAAAATGACCAGTTTTGAAAATCAGACTACGGACATACCAGGGGCACCCAACGAGAATATAGTTCAAAACCACTTAAACATAGCATTGTTGAACGTATTTTAGTACTTAACGGTAGATATAGGCATATTTTTATGCCCTAAAAATCTTTCATCTGTCTGGATTGCCTAGCTGAAAGTCTAGTGATCCGAAAATTATAGGGATCAAAACTTACCTTTTCGAAAATTTCAGCCACAAAAAAGGCTCCCGAAAATTCTAGGTGACCTTTTAAGGGTAAAAATCTCTTTAAAATGGGCAATTATACCATTTTTTAGATGTTCGAAAATCCTAGGAGAGGCAGGCAAGCACGAAATTTACAACAAATGTTCCAAAAATTCTAGATCTCAAATCGTCTTCCAAACTCTTAACAGATGTTTTCCAAAAATTGCCGCTGGGTGCCCCTGACATACCTACACCTCTATTGGGACCTCACAATTGATTAGTTTTCATCATTTTTTGGCATAGTACCCAACACTAGCTCTTAACGGTGGTCATTTTAGATTAGCACCAAAGCAGTATCAAAACAAAAATGGTGTTTGGACAGTTTTGTAGTTTGGGAAAATAGCTGAAAACCAGAGTTTTATAGCAATACTCCTTTGACCACTTATAAGTAGACAAAGCTAGCAAACCTGAGATTAGGAGGAAAGTGAAATCTGTTTCACCTTTCCTGTATATTTGTTAAGTTAAACAATAATATAGACTCTGATCTCAGCTCAGTTAAAATAAGAAGTAATGAATCCTGAATTCACTTCACAGGACGTTCTTGATTAAATAACCCCACAAATCTAAAACAAAATGNACCATTTTTTAGATGTTTGAAAATCCTAGGAGAGGCAGGCAAGCAAGAAATTTACAACAAATGTTCCGAAAATTCTAGATCTCAAATCATCTTCCAAACTCTGAACAGATGTTTTCCAAAAATTGCCGCTGGATGCCCCTGACATACCTACGCCTCTATTGGGACCTCACAATTGATTAGTTTTCATCATTTTTTGGCTTGGTACACAACACTAGCTCTTAACGGTGGTCATTTTAGATTAGCACCAAAGCAGTATCAAAACAAAAATGGTGTTTGGACAGTTTTGCAGTTTGGGCAAATAGCTGAAAACCAGAGTTTTATAGCAATACTCCTTTGACCACTTATAAGTAGACAAAGCTAGCAAACCTGAGATTAGGAGGAAAGTGAAATCTGTTTCACCTTTCCTGTATATTTGTTAAGTTAAACAATAATATAGACTCTGATCTCAGCTCAGTTAAAATAAGAAGTAATGAATCCTGAATTCACTTCACAGGACGTTCTTGATTAAATAACCCCACAAATCTAAAACAAAATGTCACAGATGGCCTCAAACTAAAACAGAAGTTTTTCCAGTGGAGATCAACAATTTGCCTCATTTGAACCATGTGGAATAACAGGAAGTGAACGGCCTTGTTTGTTCCTGGGGCTTCGTCTGGGTTGAACCCTTGAGCTGGCAGCACGCTGAAGTAGTAAAAAGTAAACAAGAAAGCAAGTGAGAAGCTAACATGAGGCCTACACAATCTTCCGCTGGGTCCTCCTTTGTGCTCTTGTCTGTAATAAAAAATTGACAATAATGTTACAATTAAGTGTTAATCTTGGTGAGAAAACTGCCAAGGTTTACAATTCATTGCTAGCCAGTGGGACAGGCACATGAAAAATATGGAATGCAAAAATATAGTGATGCCTGCAGCAGAAGAATAATAATATTATGAGTGTGAGCCGAGAAGGAACTCTAACTCCTGTCAATGTCTTCCTCCCTCCCATGCATAGCTTATGTATGGTATCTTGTGCCTCACATTTCTTATGCACCTGTTATAAACACAGAGTCAACATGTAGTGCACAGCACCCAATCATAAAAAATACATCATACTGTATCTAGGCCACAAGCCAATGTTTAAATGAGTTGGAGTTAGAAGTGAATGAAAAATGGCCTGGTAAGAAAACAATTCAATTTTCTCTCAAAGCTTTGCACTAGTAACATGTTCTTCAAAACATATGGGGTAGGTTTCCTAACTGTTATAATGATTATAAATATTCGCATTCATGTATGAGTTGAACCTAATTTGATCTTTTATCAAACATTTTTTTGTCTGATTCATACACCATTCACAGAACCTCACACTGCGCAAGCGTAACATTTAGGACCTTTAGGACAGTCCCTCTTAAAAGATGGACTGTCATGTCCATAACCAAGGCTGTGCTCAAAACCAAAAGCTTTACAGTAAGGAGGATTAATATAATCATACTGTGTGAGATAAGGCTTAAAAAGTTTAATTTTCTTGCTGTTAAAGCAGGATTGTTGATGATAACTAACTAGGCTGTGCTCTCAATCCATAAGCTTTAGGGTGTTTATGCCACCAGTCATCCAAGTTAGGGAAACAGCCAGTCACCAAGGCCTGCTCAGGGGCACTGGCTTCATTCAGTGCTTAACTTAATTGCCTGAACAATGTTTCATGCAATGACCTGTAGTGTAGCGATGTCACCTCCCCTCCCCCACCCCTCAACGTCTGTAGTGTAATAGTAGTAACATAATTAAACAAAGTAAATTTTGAGATAAAATGTGAGCATCATCACCTACCTCATAAGTCCTAACATCTCCAGGATTGTAAGAATGTGCTGATGACTGTTGAAAACAAAAGGTTAGATTAATTACCAAGTTACTTGTAAAATTTAAAAGAAGAGAAACAGAGAGCACTATTTACCAGGAATCAAGTAAAATTTCACTTTATCGAGGATAAGTAGCTATTAATAGACCTTTCCTGCATTCCCGTAAACAAAGGCACTGACCATTTCTAGGAGCCCTCGGGTGGACAAAATTATACAGTGATTTGTATCAAATTGTCCACCCTAGCCTTGACCTTATTTCTTTACGCTTGCTCACCAGAGCAGAATGCAGGAAAGGTCTGTTAAAAAAAACCCGTTAAAACTAAAAATACCAACAGCAAGTAGAAATAAATGAATTACATTAAAGACAAAATTTACCTCAAAGGGATCCCCATGAACTCTTGCACGGTGTGAGGTTCTCTGAATGGTGTATGAATCAGACAAAAAATGTTGATAAAAGATCAAATTAGGTTCAACTTATACAAAATCATCACAACATTTAGGAAACTTACCCCATATGAGCGTGGCAAGGTGAGTGACTGGTAGTTACTTGATCCTCGTGACCGCTTGGTTGTTTGAGTTTTAGTCTCTTTTGGATGTTCTCTTAATTCTTCATTCAGCTTTGCACTAAGGCAACAATAACATTTGTCAACTTGTGAAAATTAATAATGACACTGCTTAATGAGATGACTGTAACAATAGTTTTTACCCCAGAACAAGGACTTTCCTAGTCTAACAATTTTGAAAAAATTGTACTGTAACAGTAATTCATTAATGTGTAGAAAAATTTCAGTGCCAAGTTCATTCAACATTTTAGCACAGTGCAGTGCATACATGTTCGCCTTATAGAGAGTCAAACTGACCAACCTGCAAAGAAAGAACTCTCCGATAGCCCAGGGCTAGTGGATTTTGCTATCGGGCTGGTGAATTCTGTTTTTAACTTGCCCAACAGGCAAGTGATTTTTCTTGAGGAATTTGAATAACACGGAAGAACTGTGAAATCAATTCTGCTAGTCAAAAAGTTTTTGGGGCTAGTAGAAATGATGTCTGGGCTAGTAAATTCTAACTTCAGCTTGCCCGAATGGCAAGCTGAAGTTAGAATTTACTAGCTGATTTACCAGAAGATGATTTTCTTTGCACCCTGACTGACTGAAAAAAGGCTGAGGGCCCGACTTTAGGAGCCTATGTATTTTTAAGGAATTGCTCAAGTGTATAATGGAGGTGCCCATTCACATAAAGAGTCAGTTTACTTGAATCTTACTGCAAGAATTGAATGACCATTGGGTTGAAAACTGTACCTCTCCACATCAGGGTTTACAGACTCTTCTTCTTCCTCTTCTTCTCTTTCTTCTATCAGGCTGTATTCCTCAGATTCATCAATTGGCATGTAGTCATTGTCTGTAGTATTCATTCCACCATACCATGATTTGGCTTTGTGAAGTCTTCCACCTCTTTTATTGTCAGTAGCATCTGTACCATAGTGGCGCAATTTCTCCGCCAGAACAGTCTGGCCCTAGATTGACATGGAAATTTTATTCAACGCAAGTTAATAAATTTAGACTACCCACAACATGACGGTTACATAAAAGGATCCTTTATGTTACCCTAGAAACATAGTTGATCAAAGTCACAAAAAGCATTTTATGGAGACAAACTAACAGGGCTTCTGATATTTCGCGCAGTCGCGGACCCGCGAAATTCAGGTTTTTCCGCGAAATTCCCAAAAGAACGCGAAATACCGCGAAATCCGCCAGAAATATTTCCAAATACATGTCGGCAAAACATATTTAATACTTATCTTGGCTGTTAGACCTGTTTTATTCACCCCAACGTCCAAATCTATCTTGAAACTTCGTCACTGCAACGAGTATACAACGTTCCAAAACTAACAGGCATTCTTAGATTAATGTTGTGAAAAACTGGGCACTGGCCACGATGTGAAATGCCTTACCATTGGTACATTTCTCGAGCGCATTGTTGTTGAAAGAGCAAATGATTATCGTTGTTAAAAAAAACGTTAAACAACGCTGGTCATATCGACCCAAAAATTGAGTCAATTTTAGTGAAATTTGCCAAAAAAAAATCCAGTGAAATCGGCCGATTTTTCTAAGAATTTGGCCCTGAAAATCCTTCGAAATTTGAATTCTTTCCGCTAAAATCCCACGAAATCAACCGATTTTCCCACGAATTTTGACCTTTTTCCCGCGAAATCGGCCAATTTTTCCGTGAATTTGCCCCTGAAAATCCCGCGAAATTTTACTTTTTTTTTCCGTGAAATATCAGAAGCCCTGAACTAATGAAGAAATCAAAGCCCCCCCTGTGAACAAAAGACACATTTTTTTGATCTACTGACAGTAGCAAAGCAAAAGCAAAAGAATATGATTACCGTGGCAGCAGTCTTTATCATGGTGTCTGCAGCTATGGATAGGCTATTTTTGCTGACCCTTACTACAGTGTCATACCCACTTTCTTTTAGCTGCTCAATATAGCTGTCAATATCCTGTGAATTGAACAGAAATTCAAAGGTTGAGCAAAGAGAAGCCTGTTATTCAATAAAGCTGGACTGTAAATGTATGATTAGGTTAAAATTTAATGTTATCCAGGGTGTCTCTTAATCTTGAAGCACATACATATTTAGCACTTTTGTTAAGGATTTGCTTAACCCATGAACCCCTGAGCCGCCCATAACCTCCTGGCAGATCCACGCCCTTCTACCGCTTGTGACATCATCAGTTTTAATGGGCAAGGACACATTTGCCTGCTAACTTGTGCCGGGTGAAGAAATCTTTCAAACCATACCAGAATGAGCTCAATTCGGTTGAGGGCAATGGAGATAAAGGCAAAAAACCATGTAACATTGACCTGAAAATTTCCATGAAAATCTTGTTCCACTACTCGCTTACCTTTCCTTTCATCTAATTCTAAGATCCTAAAAGCTTTCCTAAAAAAATTTCCCACCAAAATGAAGCCTACTAAATGCCCAGCAAAAGAAAAAAAAAGGAAGCAAGAAAAGCGAAAAAAGAGGGGAGGAGAGAAAGCGAAAAGTAAAAGTCAAGACTGCTGTGTCACTTTTAAACCTAAAAACTACTTGAAATTTTGCTTTCTTTCTTATCTCATATTACAATATTCTTAACTCAAATTTGTACCTTCTCATTCTTTGAAAGCCATGGATGGACAAATTTGCGGTACAATATGCTTGATCCCTAAAGTAAAAATTGAGGTAAAGATTAATTAAAAAAGACAGGTGATTTTTTCTCATACTATGAGAAGAGTAGAACATGAAGTAACACAGAGATGAGACCATTATTTTTACCAGCTGGTGGTTGCTTTGAAAAGGTTAAAAACAATGGAAAATTCTAAAACTGTCATAATCATAAAAAGTGGGCCAATTGGTTGCTTGCAAGAAGTGGCCATTTACTGGAGGTGTCAACTATAAGGATCTGACTGGGAAAATATTTGGTGTTTTAGTTAGGTGGTTACTTATGAGAAATGGTCAAACCGGGAGGTTTGACTGTAGTTATGTCAAAGAGTTAGGTATGTATGATTTGACTCAAATGAAAGCATACAGTAGAGATAAGTACCTATTTGAGACAAAAAAAAAAACAAAAACAGGGAAGGAGAAGTTTTAATTGGCCTGCTAGATCATACACGTTTCCCAGCACATGTTCCTGCATGATGGGTCAAATCTTATACCTTTCGAGAATGAAACAAATTTGATTACCTTTGTTGCTGGCAACAAAAGCCAAAGCATGAATATGATCTTGAGCTCATAATAAAAAGGAAACCTGAAAGTAATTTACCAATAATATTATTAAGCCTAAGAATAAACTGTCAAGGATTGAAACTCTGCAAGAGGCTTAAAAAAATAGGAATATTAATAATCATTATTATTTTAATAATGATTCTGAACCCCTCAAAAAAATTGAAATGAAATAAACTCTAAGGTGTACAAGTAACCAATACAAAATAAAGACTTGAAAAGAACATAAAAAGAATAGATATTACTTTGTCTGCACAAAATTAGGGAAGACATTTGGATAAGTCAGTCTCTCAGTCTTATTTCAGACCAGGCTTGTACTGTGGAAAAGTAGCCTCTGTTCGAAGGGAACACTATGAACATATACATTGTAGGGATTGATCCATCAAGTTAAATCCAATCATTACTGTACAGAAGATAATTTTTATAATAACCAGTTTAGGATGTAGAATTTCATGGCAGGTTTTAGGAAAGCCCTGCCCTCTAAAAAGTTGTGAACTCACCAAAATGCTAGTAAAAGGTCAGCAAACAGTTCTACAGTAATAAAAAGGGCAAAAACTATCCAGTACATCATCCATCTAACCTGGAAATAAAAAGAAACGAAATTATTTAAGTTCAAAAAGTCCATCAATTTTAACCACTTCATCCTGCATGGATATATTGCTTTTTATGTACTTTAACTTGCTGCAAAATCAGAAAATATTTTTATGGTCACTATACATGGAGCAGATTTCACGAATCACTTACAAGAATGATGTTAGACAAGTTACTCAGTGTCCTACAGCCCAGTGTTAGCAGAACAGCCAAAGAGGTAGTGCATTATAATCACAATTTGCCCATGGGCAAGAATACCGTAAAATTCCGAAAATAAGTCCCTCCATGTATAAGCCCCCCAAACCGGTAACGAAAAAAACCCTCTGTTAAATCGCCCCTCCAAATATAAGCCCCCCCGGGGCTTGTACTTAGAAAATTGCCCTCAAATGTAAAGTAAAACAAAGCAAAAACGGTAAATTTACTTCCAACTATAAGGCTAGCCCAGTCAATTTTGAAATGCAAATTTCCCTCTGTAGATAAGCCCCTCTAAAAGGGCCTTTGAAAAATATAAGCCCCGGGGCTTATTTTCAGAATTTTACGGTAGATTGTTAACCAATATTCTAGTATATGTCTATATCAGCTATCAAAACCATTTTGGGTTCTTGAAGCTCCAGAGCCCAGTCGTTCGAAGGCTGATTAGCACTAACCTGAGGTTAAATTAATTTGTTATCTGCGGGTTTCTTTTTCTTTTATTGAAAAGCATTTTCTCAGGTAATTTTCTCCATACTTCTAAGATCATCCAATCATCATATTGTAGACAAAAAGAATTAAACTAAAGTTGCTTTTTTCCCTTTTTAAATGTGAATTTAAAAATTGTGAATTTATTTGTTAGCATCACTGATTGTGATTGGCTAAGGCTACAATAATTAATAGCAACCATTTTTGGGTCACTAACATTGCCATGCTGCGAATGAGAGAAATCCTTTACATGTGACAAGAAAACTGTGTGTCCATGAAGGACCTTGTCAAAGTCTACTGGTGCATGGGCCAACTCAGCTCAACTTAATTCCTTGCATATCAAAGGTTGTGCATGCATGCAGCGTGCGGGTCATAGCGGACTGCAAACTTGGGTGGCCCATATATACAGTCTGTAAAAATCAACATATCTCACTAGTTTCTGCCTTGACATCATCAAGTCTGATATCATGGAACATTTTGTGCTCCCAAAGCAACATTCGATGTCTGGCGAACTATCATGAAGGGCTTTTTTAAAGCCAGGGCACTGGATTTGAAATCATGTTAACCAAAAGGAGATTGTATATCTCAGATTCCAATATTAGAGCCGCTGTTGACACCCTCTACACAATTTACTCTGTTGGCTCTCCCAAACCTCGTTCCCAGGGTTCTCTCCTACCCGCCTTACGGAGCGAGAGAGAGAGAGAGACCCTGGAAAACGCTGGTCACGTGGCTCCAGAACAAAATTAATTCTGAGGGAGGAGTCCTTTGTCTCACATTATTTTTGTCTGGTTTATCCGCAACATTCACGTCACGCAGTGATCGCAACAGCAAGATAGATACTACAACTATAACTGAAACTAAGGGAAATTTCTGCCTAAACAGAACTATCAGATAAACAAGTGAATTACCGGAGTAGGAATAAAAAACTAGCGTTGTCGCTGGTTTACCCGATGACACCAAACGCTAAAAATCTACGATCTTGAGTTATACACAAGCGAGTTAATTTTTTGAAGGTAAAATCCCTGTATGTTGAATTTCTATATTAATATTTTCAATGTTTGTCTGACAGCGGCTGGTAATCAGGCCTAATAAACCTACACCATTCACTGGTCTAAGTGGTTGGGCGTGACAAACCCCCGGAGACAAAACATGGCAGTTACATTGAGAGCAAGGAATTCAGTTAATACATTTACGATCAAAGTAATATTTTAGATCTAGTGACTTCACGGAAAGCTATAGCCTAAAATGTCAGCTTTTTCCTCCCCCTAACTTTTGTTATGATGTGGCAATAGAAAACTGGTAAATAGATCAAAGATAAAAATAATTATATACCAATGCGACGTGGAAGACAACAGGAAATAGCATAAACAGAGACAAAACAGACAACATAACCTGCATGATAGTAGTCTTGAAAACACATTACTGTACATTTGTTTTCTAATGTGGCCTCCACAACATAGATACGGCAATTCAAATCTAGTGCGTTTCGGTATGAATACTACTACCAGGTAGACCAGGATACCTAAATTATTTTTGACTGCAAAAACCGTGAATCCTCCGCCATTTCCGTTGCATGTGCCAAATGAAAGCATCGCTGATAAACATGCGACTAAAATCCAGATATTCTGCAGAAAGTTATGCTTTCGCTGTCAAAGGATTTTGTGCATTATTTTCGGCGTTCAAGATCAGGTCAGCTACAGTTTTATGGCTGGACTGACCTGTCTACGCTGTGTAGAGACAAATCTCACACTTAGCTGCCCCTCCCCCAAATCGTTTGTTTGTAATCTCCCAGATTCTGGGAGACATGTGACCAGTGTTTTTCAGGGTCTCTCTCTCTCTCGCTTCGTAGGGCGGGTAGGAGAGAACCCTGGGAACGAGGTTGGGCTCTCCCGCCCTCCCATCCCAGACATTTTACCAGCCTCCCTCCTCCTCCTTAGCAAAGTTCTGCAATACACATATTTCTAGTTAGAAAATTATTTGCAAAAAATTAATAAAACACACAAGATCTGGTCAGCAGGTAGCATTAGTTTATCTAAGCAGAACAGTCACTTCTCTTATCTTCACTTTAACCTTTTAATTCTGAGTTACCTAGACATCACGTCTTTTAGTACATAGTAATAAATTATATTAACATGTAGACCCAGCAAACATTTACACCTTTGCTTGAATTAGTTTTTTATATCTCATAATATTGAAAACTAGAAAAATCAAGAACATTTTAGGGTAAGTGACTCACATCAAATTTCAGTGACACTTGCCACTTACACTTGCTCTCTCAGAACAAAATTTTGTGTGCACACATTTTCTCTTTTTTTAATTTGGGAATTTTTTTGCCCATGTTTTGTTTCCACAGCAAACATTAAACCTCTCGTCTAAATTAAAAGTAATGTTTCAAAATCATTCAAGCAGCAAATGTAGTGGTCAAAGGGCTAAAGTTTTGATTTTTCAAGGAGTAAAAGGATCTCAAGAGCATGTAGGACAAGCATTAGAGTAGAAACCAGTGGACTAGCTGTACTGTTCAGAAAACTTTTGTTACAAAACATTATGCAAATACAACTTTGTTAGGTTTAAAGTTATCATCCGGACTAGAGATGTCACGCTACGAATTCCTCAGCTAATTTATTCAAACCCCTTGACCAAAATCTGTTTTGGATTGCCTCATAATAGATGAAGGTTAGCTAAGCAGCTAGCGGGTAGATAAATGCTGGCTAGAATTAATTGCACAAGTACACACAAAAACACTGTTAATCCTTTATGTACACAGCCAGAGAAGGATGAGACTAAGGAATTTGAATCCTCAATCAATATTGCTGTTTGCAAGTCATCATGACGTTTAGAAGATCAGTAAGAACCTAGAAAAAACCTGTTAGTTCTTATTCTATATTTTGCATTTGTTATGGCGTGGAAGGCTTTTTATTTTATTCGGTGGATGAAAAATATTCCTTTGGTAGGGAAGTTAATTGAAGCAAAAAAGGGCAAAGTCTGTGATATGCAAATTCTTGTACAAACAAACATAATGCACTGTTAGATGATTCCATGTTGCACCATGGCTTCCAAATTATGCAGCTTGCCCACGTAGATATAAAAATTTTTCAGAGCTAAAATCTGCAACAATGTAACCTCCTGGCCATAATTTTCGACAACACAGACAGCATGTTTTAGAATAAATATGGTAACGACAGTCTTCAATTAACACATTATGGCACAAACTTGTAACTGGAAAATAATAAATTGAAATTGCCTAAGATGAAAGGTACAACTAATTGAGTAAAGTGTCTGTTACAGCTGGAAATTGATTATTTTTATTAGCCTTGCATCTGTTGATGTTTAGGAAAAAAAACTGAGACCTCTAACTCAAAAAAAGTTCAGTTTTTAGCCTAACAGGAAAACAGGCTTTGATAATAAAAATGTTTGCACGTACGTCGGAGCGTGTAAAAGAAAATATCATTTGAATATCCCGTTAACTTACTTACGAAAAAGGAAAACCTGGCTGTCGAACTCCATCATCCTCCTTGATTAAAGATACAGTTAACGCATAACAAATTTCGACAGATTTAAAGATTTCTGCATGAATAAGCTTAGACTTGCATTGAACTCGGTCAGTGAACCCAAATTTATAAACATGTTCACAGAGCTCGCAATACGAACAGATTTAAAACATGCGAATGAAAAAGGTACATGTAGAAGCGAGGTCGAGTTGGCAGGATCGTTGTACCTGAAGATATACTTGCGTATTAAGAGGAAAGGCGATTTTCAGCTGCTAGATTAGTAACTCAGTTAACAAGCTAGATTGAAAACACAAGTGTACTTTCCGGCATGTTTTGCTTGTATCATATCAACCATCAACACTTGAACTATTACCGAACGCCACTCAATCTTGAGCTGAGATGCAAATTAAGACTGACGAAAAGACATTCGCCTAAACTTAAATCTTGTGTTCTCAGTAGCTTTTCAAAAAGTGAACAGAAAATACTTGGATAGATCTCAAGCCAAGAAGCATATCAAACGAAAAGATTTTATCGATCGAACGTTATTCCATCCAAATCTTGGAGGAAAAGAAAGAAAACACTTACGTATTCTCGGACATTCTTCGTCTTCATAGCCTTGTACGATGAATAAGCGGGATACAGGGTTCCGAAAACGAGCCTGTAAGAAACGAACG